TTAGTAGGTGTTGCAGAAACTTCTTCGAAGCTTCCACCCTTACACGCGCGATCACTCGATGCTTTCAACAGGGACTCAAATCATGAAACTCCCCGTGTTGAGTGTCCTTTCTCACATGTCGTTCAAGGTGCTATGTACTGCCAGTGGTAGCTAGTACACATGTTGCTTCTGCTTGTGACAAGCTGACAAGATTGCTTTTACGGCTCAAGGCCATAGGGGGATATAAAGGAACCTTTAAATTTACAAGGAACTCCGTTAAACCGTGTAAGACAACCTTCACTAGAAATCCTAACCCCCTGCTCAAGATAGCCTGCAGGCACATCGGAAATCCAACGAAACCGGCGTTTGCAACAACCGTTGGTAACACTGCGAATAACCGTCGTCACATGTACAGTCTTACGGATAGGAGAAACTCATGCACTGCTTGAGCTCCTCGAGTGCGAATGAGCACGCGCTTGTGGCCTCCGCGGGCACCGCCGGTTTAGGGTCCAAGATAATAAGTTCACTTCTTTTGCCGGGCAGATTAGTCTGTCTGTTTCTGTTTACGGTTGGCTAGCTGGGCGGAAGCTGATGCAGACACCAGGTCTAGAGGGTTCTAACAGCAAGCCGTAGAAAACAGACACTTTATGGTTTTCTTGAAGTTCGACCTTGCCGGGAGCAATAGGGCTTGAGCGAGAACAGCCTTTGGCTGGAAGTATGGGTGTTTGTATTTATCAACCAGTGCAACCCAACCGTGAGCATAACGATGGTGGATGCTGAGCACAGCCTAGATGAGGTGTTCATGCAAAGACCGGACACAACGAAACAAACTGCAGTCCTTCGTAGCGGTGTTCCCGAGGGAGTGTCGGCTTGCAGAACATGAAGCACGTGGGGTTAACAACATGTTCAAGACAGAGAGAATGGAACCCTGAGCCTTAACCCAATAATTCCACGATAGCTGAAACACCAAACTTGCCCAAACTTGCCTGCTGCTTGCTCGACATAGACCTCGTGACATTTCAGGTTGTGGGATTTGTGGCTTTCTTGCCTCCTAACTGGCGGGGTCTGGGCCTATACCCCTGGGTATACCGTAGCTGTTTGGCTTTGGGGTGTAAATCGTAGAAACCCCCTTGACAAGCCCCGAACCCGAAACGCTGGGCATACCGAAAGCCACGTTCGAATTATGAAAGATAGCCTATGAAGCCCGACTCAGAGCACTCGTTATACACGGGCCTATGAAAGGCTCGTGGCTACAGAACCCTGCGTTTGTCCTTGGATATCAGACGACCGCTGTTCTAGCTTCATGGTCAAGGCCGAGCAAACACAAAGTGAAACCAGAAAAACCCGGATGCAGGGCTTTTCAATTTCGATTGATGGGTATGGAGTTTCGCAGCCTGGACTGGGATAGTTACTTGAAGATTAAAAACTCATCCATCTTTCATCGGCACGGGAATCCTTCGCCACGAGACCACAATTTTGCTGACCAGCCCTTCAAGCCCATGGTTTGAGGGGGGGGGGGGGGTTTTCAGGGACACCCACGTCCCGATGACCATCTTTTGCAGTCCAGCGGCATCATCCACGGCGACCCCTGCAACGGAAGATTGCTACACAGTAATAAACAGTAACTATAGTACTTATCCAGCAGGATCCTCAATCCACAAACCGAAATCCAGCTTGGGAGCGTACTTGGATTGAGGATATCTTCGTCACACAGCTTGGATTGAGGATGTATTCATTACACAGCTCAGGCACTGGTTCCGACGCTTGTTGACTGCGAAGACGCCGCGCGCGAAAACTTGCAACGAACGCTGCTGGACTACGAAGGCAATCCAGGCTCCCAGGCCCTACTACGCTCCGCAATGGGACTCCCAACCGTCCCAACCATGCAACTCTCGCAG